GCAGTAAAAAAAAAAAGGAAAGTGTAAAACTTACTATAAATGTCAGAATATAGTCAATATCAGAGTAACACTATAATAATATATATCATATTTAAGTATAATGAACACTTTCAAAAATTTTAAAAATATCTATTAATACAATAATTTGTTAAATAAAGCACAGTATGAAAATATGTAAATAGTCACATTGGTAACATAAAATGGGGAGAGAGAAGTTAATTTTGCATATGATTTAATTTATCAAGCTAAAAGAGACTTTTGTCTATTTTATATAATTTCCATAACTATAAGAAGGTCAAAAAACTTAATAAATACGAATTATTACAAATGTTCATCAAATCCCAAAATAAAATAAAGAGAGGCACAAGGGCTTAAATGTACTACAAAGCAGTTAGATAATAATTAACAAAATGCTAGTAGCAAATTCTTCCTATTAATAACTGTTTTAAATATCATTAGATTATATTCTCTAATCAAAAGACATAAAATGGATGAAAAACTATATGCCTCCAAGACACTCACTTCAGTTTGAAGGACATGCATAGGCTAAAAGGGTGACAAAAAATACTTCATTCAAGAAAAGAAAGTAGAGGTGGCTTTATTTATATAGATAAAATAGATATTAAGTAAAAAATCTGTCACTAGATACAAAGAAGGTCAGGATACAATGATTAAGGGGTCAGTTGATCAAAAAAATATAATAAATACATTTACACCCAACATTGGAGCATCTAACTATATAAACTTAACAATAACAGAATTTAAAAGAGAGAGAGAGTATACACAGAATGTACTTCAGTACCCCATTTTCAACAATGGATAGCTCGTCCAGAGAGAGAATCAACAAAGAGTAGATCTGAATAATACTTTAGAGCAAATGAATAGTATATGTGTACATCTTAAATATATATGGTTTCTATTTGTTAAATCACACATTGCTAGAGCAGAAAAAGAAAAAGAAGGGCAAACTATGTATAATCAATCTAAATCTCTAGTACTGTTTTGGAGTTTCACAGAAATCTATGCAAAGAGGTTGGTTTAGTTGACTTTTCCACTGCTGGAACTAAAAGATTTGACTAAAACAATTGTAGGTGAGGAAAAGTTTATTTGAGGGCTGATGGTTTCAGAAGTCTTAGTCCACAGAAGGCTGGCTCCATTCTTTGGGGCTCAAGGTGAGGCACAATATCATGGTGGAAAAATATGGCAGAGGGAAGTAGCTCACATGATGATCAGAAAGCAAAGAAAGAAAAACTCCACTCTCTATAACTTATCATTATACTTAATATATTCCCCATAGCCATGACCCCAGTGAACCACTTCCTCCAGCCACATCCCATTTGCCTCTAGTTACCACTCAGTTAATCCCATTAGAGATTAATTTACTGATTAGATTAAGGCTATAGCCCAATCTTTTCTCCTCCAAACCTTCTTGCATTGTCTCACACATGAGCTTTTGAAGGACACCACACAGCCAAACATTTACCAAAGTTATAAAATCTAGCGAGTTCCTCTTGGGAATGTGTAGTAGAATAGCTTATATAAGAGAAGGCACACAAAAACAGTGATTAGGTTCTAGTGCACAATGATTTCTTAATTTTAAGTAACATTTTTATCACGCCAATAACTCTGAAGAGTAAAATTAAGATCACTCATTTGCTGGGTATGGTGGTACATGCCTGTAATTCCAGCGGCTCTGGAGGCTAAGGCAGCAAGATTATGAGTTTAAAGTCACCCTCAGCAATTTAGGGAGACCCTAAGCAACTCAGCAAATACACAAAAGGGTTGGGGTTGTGGCTCAGTGGTTAATTGCCCCTGGGTTCAATCCCCCCCTTACCAAAAAAAAAAAAAAAGGTCACTCAATAGATGTTAAAAAGGCATTTGATAAATACAAATTCCCTTCTAAATTAAGAATAAAAGTGAAATAGAAGCACTGCTTTTTTGTCTGGGATACAAGGTATCTCTTAAAATAATAAGTGATCTAAGACTATTACAATTAAATTTGGGAAATATTATAATGATGTTTATGTTGTGCAGAGTGATCCCTTTACGATGAAATCTTTTCCTAATACATCATACACACAAGAAGAGGTAACAAATATTGTAAAAGAAAATAGAAAGTTTTTACTGATATTTATAAAAGTAAAAGACACCAAAAATATTAGGACTTCTAAAAATAATTAGGTAGGTAAAGAGCCCAATACTACTCCAAGTACTTCTAAAATTAGAAAATATGATATAAAAAGAAGACTGCATATAATATCTTATTAAGAAGTGCTAAGTGTTTGTATAAATCGTCTAAAATTGCAAGAATGAATAAAAGAGGGTTTGGTATATTATTCTATTTGTTTATATTTTTCAAAGGAAGGACTCAATATTTCCAAGAAGTCAAATTTTATCTAGTTTTTAGTTTTAATTCAATTGCAACAAAAATAAAACCATATTTTAATTAGCAAATTGGTTTTAAAATGTTCTTCTAGAATAAAATACAAATGAGAATAAATAAACCACAAACTTGTTCTTCCAAAAATCAAAGTTTATATAAAACTAAAAATGAAACATTTTGATCCTGGCACAGACAGATAATTGGAACAGACCAGGAAGTCCAGAAAGTAGTTGGAAGACAAATGAATTATCTCAAATTATCAACTTACATGAGTGCAGATTGGGTAATTAGTGCTATGATAAGTATGAGTAAATAATAATAAATAGTAATAAACAAGCAAATAAAGTTTAGGACAGCATCTCACAACTCATATCAACATAATTTCTGGAAAATTAAGAAGTGGTTATATTAAAACTCTTTTTGATCTCAGATGCAGTTCAGTGAAAACTTCAAAACCCAGAAAATTTGCAGGGAAACTTAGATGTTTTATGAAATTTAAAACTACCAAATGTCAGCCAGCCTAAAAGGAAGTAGGAAAATAAATGGTAATGAAAATACTTGGAATATATAGGTAAAATATTAGCTATCCTTAAAGCATAAGAAAAAAAAATGATTAAAAGAAAAAGATGGACAATATATTAAAAGGAAATATAGTTTTCCATAAAAAATTTAAAAAACAATATTTATCCTCATTAGAAACCTAAGAAATTCACTCAGTAAGCTGTGCTTTTTTGTTTTACTTGATTATTCTGCTGTTTTTCTTTAATATACAGGTGCAAATTTGCAAACTCATAATGGTTTTCCTAAGTAATTATAGCATTTTACTCTCTAAAATTACATTATAAAAAGAAAGCATTAAAGGAGGGTCCAAAGGTTGTTTTCATGAATGCAAGTACCTTCATCAGTATCTATATTACATTCCTTTAAGGATTATGTGACTCCAAATAAAAGTTAGATAATTGAACAAAACCCTTAAGCTCTCTATAGAAATGACACATAATGTTATTTAACAGAACTAAGAGATACTTTAAAATAAGTTAATATTGTGCCAAAATTTTTGCCAAAATAAAATTTGGGCAGCATCCTATATTTATTAACTTAAAAGGACCTTCACATTTCCACATTCTAATTAAAATGGAAGCATTTTATCACTATATATGTATAGATTTTGATGTCTTATTTCGGCTCTTTCTAGTTATGCTCAATAATGCATGGCATCTTAGCCTTGTAAACACTAATTTGAAGTGTATTGTTTACAAAACACAGGAGTGGCCAGAAGGCTAAATCCAACACTCCTGCAGGGTCAGTGTGATGACTGTTTCCACACCAGTGCTCTCTTCTCTCATTCAAAACTGACTTTGTTGCCCATTTCTTGTTAAGGCCCCCTCTTTATCGTTAACACCATAGAAATCAATTTTCTTGCATTCCTTCATTGGAAATCTTAGCCCATAATCTTTATGATTCACTATATGTGAACCATTCACCTTAATTTTCCCTCAGGTTGTGTATATGCACATTTTCAATAACCTCCCTTTCACTTCACTGAATTTCTTTCCTCGCAATACCCCGAATCTGGAGATTATCAGCAACATTTCATCTCCGAAATTAGATGGTTTTCTTATCTCAGTAAAACATTCTCTCTTGCCTCCTCCTTCTTTTAATTGTTCTATACATCTGTTTGGATGACTTTCCTTTTATTCATCCATTTCAATTTCCCTTCCTGTCTGATTTTGATTCTGTGCTCATCATCCTTCTGGCAAAGTTAATGCCATATTAATCCAAGATTGAGGGAGCCTTCTCTATACCTTGACTCGAGTTGTTGAGAAGAAATGAAGAGAATTATGAAATGTGCATACTGGTGTATCTATCAATTAAGTGTTTAGTTAAAAAAAATCAGAAACCAATTTTAATTTAAATAGCACAGGAAAATACAGATGCTTTTCCACTTACAATGGGGATGTATCCTGAAAAACACATCATTAATGAAAATGTCATAAGTAATTTAATGTACTTAACCTGCTGAACATCACAGCTTAGCAAGCACAGTTCCCTGTAGCATATGGGATATTTTTCCTTGTGATTAAGTTGACTGGGAGTGTGGCTCATTAATGCTGTCCAGCATCAAAAGAGTATATCCTACTATATATTGCTAGTCCAGGGGAATATCCAAACTCAAAATTTGAAGTACACTTTCTGTTGAATATGTTTCACTTTTTCACCATAGAAAAGACAAAAAATCATCATTTAAACCATTATAAGTTGGAGATGGTCTATACTAAAACATATCCTGTGACTCACATAATGTCTATGAGGACCTGAATTCCTGGCCATAAAGTGTTGCTCATAGCCATGCTATTGAACCAGTCCTGTGAAGTCAATTCTGCTGGTTTAAATGTTGCCACAGCAGCATTAGCACCATGGATGGTGAACAATGAATCATGCTGACTCAGCTGTCTTTGAAAAGTGAGTACAGTAATGGATTTCTAGAATTATATTAGGCCAGAAACTCTGAATACTCTAGAAGATGTGGTTAAATTATAATTAACAGTATTAAAAGATTCTGAAGAAAGCCAATACAATAAAGGAGTCTGATAAAATAGTCTTTTTTTTTTTTTAGGAGTGTGCCTCCCTGAACCATAAAATGGGGCAGGAGAAGAGAGTGAATGGACCAAAGATAGACCCCATACTTAATTCTGTGTGAGTCTTTGTAGTATAATATTTAGTGACAATTAATGGAATATAAATGCAAAATTCTATTTTAGTGCTTTTATACATTCAAAAAAGTAAGGATTGCCCTCAATTCTGCCCTTCTTTATGAAAAATCATACCAAAATAAAGATTCATATGATGTTAAAAAATAGCTGAGGACTGAGCTAAGTACTACCCTTAAGGCAAATTCAGACACAGTTATTTAGAGCTTTGGGGATGAAGGCTTGTTCTTGTTATGGTATTTTTAAATCCCACAGTGGAGAAGAAAAGTTCCTTGCTGTGTATATAGTGATATATGACATAAAATAATAAAATCAACATAATACATTTACAAAGCATGCCAAATAGTATTGATTATTCTTGTACCCACCAACAAGTTTAAGAAATATAATATTGCCAAATTTTGTGAAGAGCCTTTTGTGAACATTTATAATTCTATCTTTCTCCCTTCTTTCTCCTGGGCTTCAAGCCTGCTGATTTTTTCAAAATGTTCCTCAAGACTATCCACTTCTCTTCATTGCTACTGATATTCCAAATTTCAATCATCTGTTTTATCAGTAGGCTAAACTGTGGTTTCTTTCCACCTCTGCCTGGTTCTACTGCAACCCATTTTTAATATTGTTGAATGACCGTTTTAAAAAACTGAGATATCTTTTTTTTCTCCTTTGGAAAACCCTCAGTCGGTGCCTACTGTCTTTAATAAAGTCAAAGCTCTTTACTATGTCTCATAAATCCCTTCCTTTACACTCTGGCTCCACATTCATGTCCACTTTCGTCTGTTTGGTTGTCATCGTAGGTATAATTTCCCTTGTGGGTTTGCTGTAGGTTATTTTTTTATTAGCTTCTCAGCATTGATTTTATCCTTCTTTCATTAGAATAAAATATTCCTCCTGCATAGGTCTGCTGCTGTTAGGGTAACTCAGCCCTAGGTTACACAGAATATCCCATTCCCTGACCCTCATGATATTGTTTATGATAGACATAGCACCCAATCCACCCAAGCCCATCCAATCAGAGAGGATCTCAGTGCTTTTGCTGCACTTGATTTGATGAAGCCAGAGTACAGAGATTGGGGCCCTCATATGCTCCTGGGTCCAGAATCAATCATAATTGAATCCTGCCTCTACTGTGGATATTTACTGCATAAGAGCTCATATATTTCTTTTTGTTCTCATACATTGGTGTTGAGCTTTATGTTGATTGAAAAGGAAAGATGGTTCACAGAGTCCTGCAGTAATATTTGTGGAATGGATCATCCCTGCTCATGTTGAAATAGGTGCAACACATCTCTCACTGTATTCTGGCTCTTCCTCCTCCTTGTTCAATTGTTACACCACTATTAGCCTCCTTGATGTTTCTCCAACAAGGACAACACAGCTCTTCTGGGCCTCTGTAATTTTTTCCTTCTGCCTGAGAAACTCTCAAAGAGCTGCCTGGCTTATTCTCTACCAACAAGAGTTTCTCAACCTTTCATTCTAAAGAATCATTTCTTGGCCCTTCATTGAAAATTATAGACATTCTTGAACTCATAGGTTTTTCTTTCCTTACCTACTTATAGCCATTAAACATGCTATAAATATGTACTTATTTATTAAATTATTGCTTATTATTTCTCCAACAGACATCTAAATGAAGTTATTTTTTTTGCCTAGTTTGTTCATTGTCATGTTATTGCCTACAATGGCATCTGACACATGGTAAGTACTCAATATATTCTTTTGAACAAATGAATAAAACCATTTTGAACTTCACCTATACATGTGGCATGGTTTCACTTTCTACATCTCCACAAGTTAATATCACTGATGCGGGTCTCTTGCAGACAGTATATAGCCCAAACATAGCAGTAATAAACAATTATTAATTTAATTTTTAGCTCTACAAAATCCAAGGACATTGTCTTATTTATCATTGTATCAATACACTGAAAGTAGAATTGGGAGATAAATATGGATTTTTTAGAAAATGGTTGAATAAATGGATAGACTTCCCATCAAGATATAGTCAACATAGTCTATCAAGCCTGCATGACATGTCTAAGGTAACCTGAACAAACTATAATAAATTATATTCTTACCTAAAATGGCAAATGTACCAAGTAATTTCCTCATTAGAAAGTTGTTGGGGCAAGACAATGAGATGACACATATGAAAATACTTAGGAAGTCATGAAATACTATATAAACAAAATTATTATTACCAGTATTATTCTTATCTGGTAAATAAGATTCCTTTAGAGTTAATTACAAGTATTTACTGAGGTAATTTGTAGTTTCAGTTGTGAAAAATAACCTTATTATATTATACTAGACAACATGACAGTATTTGTTAAAAGAAGATTTTTATGTGACATAAATATTTATTAACTATCATAATTTTTGTATTTAACATCTGTCCTAAACATCACGTATCTGCACAGTTGCTGTGCTGAGTTCATTTGAACTCTCTTAATATATTTAAAGTTCTAACCAAAATCACGGACTTGAAATTCATTCATTTAACAACCTAATGCTATTCACCAAGTACTCTATTGTCAAGGTCTTGGTACTTTATATTATCTTAATTTCTTAACTAATTTAAATTTATGTGCTTTAATTAGTTGAGAATAAGCTACTTTATAAATAACAAATAAGAATTATTTCATTTCATATAGAAAGGATATTTTACACAAATGCTCAAATCATTCTGACTCTGGTCCTTCATCAAGAATAATGTTAAAGTAGCAGGGTGTGGTGATGCATACTTGTAACCTCAGTGAATCAGGAGGCTAAGGAAGGAGGATGGCAAGATTGAGGACATCCTGGACAACTTAGGGAGCTTCAGTAATTTGATAAGTTGTTAATTGTTTTAATCTAAAAAAAAATTCCTCATTTCTTATTCTACTTGATCACTCCTCATACTCAACACTCTTACTTTTTAGTGTGTATGAAAAAAGACTGCTTTGTATCCCAAAGATAACTTTTCAACTGCTTTAGATTTCATTCATGTCAAATTGCTTTATGCTAGCAAATATTTCTTAAAAGAGTTGATAATAATAGTGAATTTCTCAATGATTTATCCCTTTTATTTGATTGGTTACCTAGCATAAAAACAGTTTGTGTGGGAAAAGAGTTGATTCACGTTAAAGAAGAAGAACGAAGAGATGATGGTCTTTATGGGAAAATGTTGGTGAAAGGAATACTTGTGTGCTTACCGTCCTCAGAGACATACAAGTGGGAAAGATGTTAAATTAAAGAGGAAAGGCAGAAATGATTTATGAGTGCAAAGGAAAAAGTCTGACTTTAGATTTTCTCTGAATTGGTACTTTTTCTTTTTCTACACTGGCTAATTAAGGTTCATTCACTTCTTATCAGGATTGATAAAAAAATAAGACAGGTGGTGATAAGAATAAGAGCCATTAAGTATTTTGAATTTCCCTACCGGGTAGAACTGCTTGAATTTTTTTATAAGCAACTCAAAAGTCAAAATTTAGAATATTCAAGAAGTAACTTCCCATACACTCGTGCTTCTTTTTGTACCTTGCTTAATTGTACCATGGGCCACCTGTTATTAAGCCCAAAATGTCAATGTAAATTTCTCCATCTGCTTTGATCATGATAGTCAATAATTAAGATGGCCTGTCAGTTTTTCCCTCTCTCATTTGAGCTGCCTCTACTACTTCTCACTGAATTTGTTTTTATTTCTGACTTTCATTACCAATGAATTTTTGTCCTAATATACAAAACAATCCTTTTACTTATCTGCTGTATAACTACAATTGTTTCCATTTGCCAATAGGAATGGTCCCTTCAGAACCCGACTTAAATCTAATTTTCTGTTTCAGTATAATTTTCATCATCTCATGCATCTTGCCATCCTTTGGCCATGCTGTCATGTTTGATGTCTCACCTAAGTTGTTCCTTCTGGCTAAATTCACTTCCATTCACTTCTCTGGTAAAGTTCTAATTATGTTCAACATCTGGCCCAAATGTTGTCTTCACTGTGATACCTTTTCAGTTCACAGATCATAATAAGAGTTATTTGTTTTTAACTTGGAATTCTCACAGTTCTTCTGTGGAATTAGTCACATTGAATTTCATTTGTAGATTCACTTTTTAGTCTGAGCTACTAAGAGGACATGAATTTGGCACAGTGCCTAAAGTACAGTAGGTGCTGACTAAAAATTTTATTGAATGAAATTAGTCATCTCTACTCTAATAGATTAGCATCTTAGTCTACACTTCAACAGTTGTGGGAGTGATTATATTAAAGTGGGTGTGTGAGAGTAGTTGTATATATTGTAAAAATATTTTATAAGCCTGAACAGTGTAGCAGGAGCATCCTTTTTTGGCTATTTTTCCTTAGGTAACATGTACTTATTGAGAAGAATTGAGGCAAAAACATGGGGGCCAAGTGAGATAGAAGGATTAGGTTTTTAACAACTAGGAAAGACTCACAAGGATAAACTTTCTGGTTTAATTCTTTAAAGTACATTTTTTTTTCTGAGAAAACTTGAAAATCTGCAGTATCAGAAGAGGATTTTGTAGGTTCCTACTTGCCAAGGCAAGTCACTTGGGACACTTGTCATTGCAGTGGATACTGCTCTCACAACCAAGTGGAATCATAACAAACTAAGAGGGAGTAAGTGCACCCACAAAATGTTAAGATGCATCTATATCAGAGCAACTAATTCAACCACTGTTCCTATTGATAGTTCAATGTACTAATCTGAGGAGAAAAAGAAGAAGAGGAAAAGGAGAACAGTAATAAGGCTGAAAAAAATGTTTATGGTATTAAGATATCTGTGTAATAACCATATAAGAAAAATAAATTATTTGATATTTTTTTTTCTTTTTGGTTTGGTTTGGTTTGGTTTTGTCTTGCTAGAATTAGTAAAAGGAAAAAAGAATCCAACTGCAATTGTCAAGGTCTTTGGAACAATTCAGAAATAGAAAATGTTTTTCTTTTGCTTACATTACATAATGAATACATATATTTTCCAATTTGTTCAAATTCTTTGCTAACCCCTGAGTTTATAAAATGTATTCCTTTACCCATTGAAATACGTAGTAATTTTTCTTCCTGTGATGCTGAACCCCGGAATGTTCTGCCCTTTTCTGACACAGAGCTGTGACTAATGCATTACGCAAATTGCTGACAAACATAGTTCTAGCCTCAAAGCTGCTTTGGCCAGTGCCAGCCACTGATGCACCTTCATTTCCCAACATCCTTATCAGTGGCTCTGGAGTCAGCAGCTCAGTCATATTAAGTGGAAATCACTTGTCATAAGATTACTTAGACAATGACACAATGACAATTCTTTAAATTTCTTATGAAATCTGGTTAGGTGTGTGTCGACTAGCATTCAGTGTTCTCACCAGAAAACAAAAAGAATCAATCATTTATCTTTCCATGTTCAGATTGAGACACCTCTCTTTATATCCAAAATTGGCCTTTTTGTTCATAAGCTACTTAACATTAGCTATATAAATAGTTATTATGGCATCATTTTGGTAAAGAGAGAAATAAAACAAATCCCTTAATAATATTAAACTATTTAGTATTATTTAACAGAATTTTCTCACAGAAATTATATAATATTATATCCTGATGGTTCCTAAAAAATGCATGTAGCATTTTGAAAATGAAACTGAATTTTATTACAAAAATTTTATCCCAATTTTATACTATGGATTCCAATTATAATATATTTTTTTTTTCTAGAAAGCTGCCTAACTTTGAATGTCCAGGATGCTAGAAGTTTCTGTGGCACTTGATTAAGTATTGTTCCAACATACACTGGCTGTATTACTTTGAGAGAAGTTACTTAAATCTCTGCCTCAGATTTCTTACTAAGAGATGAGGGATACTTATAATACCTATTTCACAGGGCTTATGTGGTGATTTCAATTTTTTTAAATGAATCAAATTACTAATAGTGTAAAGGGTTTAACTTACTAGTAATGCCACCACAATTATTGTTTACTTATACCTTGCTGAGACCTCACAGTATGTTCTAGGAATTATTGTTATCACTAATTTCTGAGCAAAATAAAAATTGCTTAGAGCTTTTGATATTTTGTTCTGAGATTTTTGTATTTTAATTGTATCCTGAGTTTTGGTCTAGAAGCCCTTTTAAATCAAGCAGATTAATTATAATCAAAGAATCAGCAACTATTCTACCGACCACTTATTACAAATGCAGTTTAATACTCAACTTTATTAAAATCAGCATTCATTATCTGATAAAACAGGGGAGCAAGAAGGAGGATTTTTCAATTCCTCTTCAGAGACATTAACACCAGAGACTCACTCACCTATGCTAACTGACACAAGTGAAGAAGTGGTAATAGAAATGAGGTCTCCACACAGACTTTCCCCAGGGTCACCCTGAAGCATCTTCTGCTCAGAGAAATAATAAGATAATAAAGAACAGTTATTGTGTCATTGTCTCAAGCATAAAAAAGGAAAAAGAACATTTTCAATCCACCGACAATATGGAGGAGAGAAAGTTCATTACAACAAACATAATGGAACTGAAATTTGGAATATTTATTTATGATGCTTTTTGCATAGTAGTGCACTGTGATAAGTAGACAAATAATGTATCTATCACCCAAGTTTGGACCCTAAGCATACAATTCCAGCTCACAAGACAGTTGCTGAACTATGTAAATTTCTTTCCTAAGTATTCAGTCTTTTCTTTCTCCCCTTTTGT